AATCCCAAATATCCTCAGACCCTCCCAGACCCCCCAAATCCCAAAATATCCACCCAAAACTTCCCCAAAAAATTCCAAAAATTAAAAAAAAATCAAAAAAATTTAAAAAAAAAATCGAAAAAAATCAGAAAAAAATCCAAAAAAAATCCCAAAAAATCCCCAAAAATTCCCAAAAAATCCCAAATATCCCGAGACCCTCCCAGACCCCCCAAATCCCAAAATTCTCCCCTTTTACCTTCCCAAAAAAATCCCCAAAATTAGAAAAAAAAATTGAAAAAAATTCAAAAAAAATTAAAAAAAAATCCAAAAAAATTCGAAAAAAATCCCAAAAAATTCCCAAAAAATCCCAAATGTCCCAAGACCCTCCCAGACCCCCCAAATCCCAAAATTTCCCAGTTTTTTTACCTTCCCAAAAGGCTCGAAGATGCCCCGGAGCATCTCCTTGGTGATGTTGCAGTGCAGGGCGCCCACGTAGAGCCTCAGGGGGCCCCCAGAGCCCTTCTGGAGAGGGGCTGCCATGGCTGCCAGACGGTTCTTCTCCGCCTGGGAAAGAATTCCCAAGGAATTTCATGGAATTCCGGAGAAAAATGGAAAAAAAATGGAAAAAAACGGGTGAAAAATGAGTGAAAAACGACCCAAAACGGGCGAAAATCGACCCCAAAACGGCCCCAAATCCGCCCCAAATTATCCAGGGGAGACACAAAATTCCAGGGGAGACCCCGGAATTCCGGGAATTCCTGGGAAAATGGGGAAAAACGGGAAAAAAAGGGGGGGAAATGGGGGAAAATCGACCTGAAACGGGCGAAAATCGACCCAAATCTCACCTGGGATCCCCCAAAATGGACCCAAATGGAACCAAAATCACCCAAAATGGACCCAAAATGGACCCAAAATCCAACCAAAATCCCCCAAAATGGACCCAAAATCCCCCAAAATGGACCCAAAATCACCCCAAAATCCACCCAAAATCCCCCAAAATGGACCCAAAATCACCCAAAATGGACCCAAAACCCACCTGGGACCCCCCAAAACCCACCTGAAACCCACCAAAATTGACCCAAAATCCCCCAAAATGGACCCAAAATTCACCCAAATCCCACCAAAATGGGGCAAAATCCCCCAAAACGGACCCAAAACCCACCGAAATGGACCCAAAACCCACCAAAATGAACCCAAATCCCACCTGGGACCCCCCATAATCCACCAAAATTAACCCAAAATCACCCAAAATGGACCCAAAACCAACCTGGGACCCCCCAAATCTCACCTGGGACCCCTCAGAATCCACCCAAAACCCCCCAAAATGGACCTAAAATCACCCAAAATGGACCCAAAATCCCTCAAAATGGACCCAAAATCCACCCAAAATCACCCAAAACCCACCTGGGACCTCCCAAATCCACCCAAATCCCACCACAATGGACCCAAAATCCCCCAAAATGGACCCAAAATCACCCAAAATCTACCCAAATCCCACCTGGGATCCCCCAAAATCCACCAAAATGGACCCAAAATGGCCCTAAATCCACCCGAAACAGCCCCAAATCCACTCAAAACGGCCCCAAATCCACCCCAAATTATCCATGGGAGACACAAAATTCCAAGGGAGGCCCCGAAATTCCCGGAATTCCCACAAAAACCGGGACAAAACCAGACAAAACCCACCCGAAACGGCCCCAAATCCACCCGAAACGGCCCCAAATTCCCTCTCCAAGATCTCCAAAATCCACCCCCAATTATCCAGGTGAGTCCTGGAATTCCAGGTGGGAACGGGAATGTCAGGTGGGATCCCAAAATTCCAAGAGGGACCCAAAAACTCCAGGTGGGACCCGGAATTCCCGCCGAAAACGGGCGAAAAAATGGCCCCGAATCGGCCAAAATCCACCCAAAATCAACCCAAAATCGACCCAAAATCCTCCCAAATCCATCCCAAATTATCCAGGTGGGACACAAGATTATCCAGGTGAGTCCTGGAATTCCAGGTGGGAACGGGAAGTTCAGGGAAGACCCCAAAAAATTCCAGGTTGGACCCGAAACTCCCGCGAAAAACGGGGGCAAAAAACGGCCCCAAATTGGCCAAAATGGACCCAAAACACCCCAAAATCCCCCCAAAATTCCAGGTGGGATCCAGAAATTCCAGGTGGGACCCCAAAATTCCAGGTGGGATCCAGAATTCCCACAAAAAAGGCTTGAAATGCCCCCCAAAAAAACCCAAAATCCCCCCAAAACGCCCCCTGAAAGGTCCTGAAAGCTCAGAGAGAAACGTCTAAAAAGGTCCTGGAAGGTCACAAAAAAAACCCCTAAAAAATTCCCCAAAAATCCTAAAAAAATCTGAAAAAATCCTAAAAAATTCCCAAAGATCCCCCCAAATTCCAAGAGTCCCAAACTCCCTCCAGACTCTCCAAGAGACTCCAAAACATCACAAAAAACCCTAAAAAAAGCCAAAAATCCTTTAAAAAATCACGAAAAAATTCCTGAAAAATTCCCAAAATTCCCAAAAAAATTCCCAAAAATTCCTAAAAAATTCCTAAAAATCCCGAGATTCCCCAAATTCCCCCAGACATTCCAAAAGACCCCTAAAGATCACAAGGAAAACTAAAAAAAAGCCAAAAACCCTTCAAAAAATCACAAAAAAATCACGAAAAAAATTCGTAAAAAATCCAGGAAAATTCCCAAAAATTCCCAAAAAATTCCCAAAAAAATCCCAAAAAATTCCCAAAAATCCTGAGGCTCCTGAACTCCCAGAGACATTCCCAAAGCCCCTAAAGATCACAAAAAACACCAAAAATCCCTAAAAAAAAA